TGCTAAGCTTGCCATGTCACCCCCTTTGCTGAGGAAAGCAGAAGGTGGATCAGTTACATTCTGTCCTTGCCTGCAATGTGTGGTCATCCTCAGGAACAAGACACAAAGCTTTCCAGCACAACCAGGAATTGTAAGTGTTTCAACTTTTCAACAGCCCTTTTTTTTTATCACTGGATCCCAGCTAAATTATTTAAAATAATCTATTGCCTTTATCAAAGCTGAATTTATCCTCAAGCTTTATCAACCCTTGTTATTTTTTGCCCCTTTGTTTCCTTCTGCAAGAACTGAAACTGCCAGGAGGCTTCCCAGTCATCTAAAGAGCATCAGTAAACAAGAGCAGAGACAGATGGCTGCAGCTCAGTTCAAAGGAGCACAAGACCCAGCCTCTCCCCTGCACTGCAAGTGCTACCCCTCAGATACAAACGGGCAGCAAAACCAGCAAGAATGCAGAGAGAAAACAGGGATGTACATCCAGCCTGGTAAGGAAGGATGTGAGGACAGGCTGCAGAGCTTCCATGTACACTGAACATCCACCACAACCATCCAGCCTTCCAATAACACAACGGGATATGAGGATGGTGGTGGGGCAGGGAAGAGTTCTCCCTCTGTTGTTGCTCCCAAAAGTACTGCTGGCAAAAATAACTGGCAGGGAGAGTAGAATGAGGCATCTCCTTCCAGCAAAGTTACTTTTCTGAGAACTAATACAGCAAACTCACACAACCTGAAAAAGTGACAACATTTGACAGGCCTCTCAATTCACCTACTACTTCAGGAATTTGGTCCCATTGACAAATAACATTAACACCTAATTAAAATGAGAGATTCAAAGAGACAAAGAAAACCCGAAAGAGAACTCAAGATTTAGAATTACAGAAGTCTGTCAAAACAAACATTCTTATTTTTTTTCATTCCTGGATTTGATTTTCATTTACTGCATAAATGACTACTGGTGTTAGCACAAGATGCTATTTACATCCTGTGCCTTGCCTTGCTAAATAGATTCAGATGTCCACATACATTCAATAAATCTATCTGAATTAACATAGTTCCTCGTATGCCTCTTCCACCAACTATAAATTCACTGTGATTCCACAGACACACCTGCATGCCTGAATGGCTTACACAGGAACGGGTTCAAACATTGCCCATTCTTCCCCAAACAAAAATTGTGATTCTGTTGAAATTGAATTAACATCTTTCCCTCAGGGCCTCCTAATATTCCAAGTTCTTCCCTCGCTCAGTGATAGCAGAGAGCTTCAAGAACACGGTTGCACAATCATCGCCTCCAATCAGCTCTAATTGAAGGCTGACACAAGACAGAACGAGAAACGAGCACTCCAATTAATACAGACAGGAAAAAACAAGATTGTGGGAGCAGCATCATTATCGGGAAAGCTCCAGCAAACCCCTCGGGTTGTAGCATGTTGGCACACTAACACCTCTGAGGTAGAGTTTAACTACTCCTTAGTGCACAAATACGAGGGAGGGAATGATCTGGTGGTGAATTTACCACAGCTGGTGAATACCTTCTAAAGTTCTGGCCCCCTTTCACCTCAGTGTTCACACTGAAACTTTAAGAACTCATTAACATGGGACTCCACTGATTCTCTCCAGAGAGGCCTGAATTGACCCTTCTGGGAATCCAGGCTGACTTCCCAAAACACAGCCTGACATATACTTCTGTTGGACCTTCCTGAAACAGCAGAACTACAAAATAAACACAGATTTCTCACATGAAACAGCTGCCTGCTCACAGCAATTCACCCAGGGTATCCCATTCTTTTCCACAATGCCATTCCCTGCTCTATACATTTAAAAGACTCAACGAAAAGCTGATACACACCTGTATCCCCATGGAAACAGCTGTCCTGGTGACATCTCCCAGAGGGCAAATCTCCGTCACTTGGCCAGATCTGTCCTGTTTTTCGTACACCCACAATAGTAGCCTCAGACACAATGACCTGCTGCTGCCTGTGCCGTTTTTGAGACTGGGGGGTTGGGGGACTGCTGCTGTCAAAGGACTGCTGAGAGTTCTGGGAGGGAGAACGGCTTTTATCCCGGTACATGCGGTAAGTGGTGGGGCTGGGGGAGACATGGCTGGACTGTCCTGAGGAGAAGTCTTCCTCACTGGAAGTAAGGTTCTCATTAGAGCTACAGTCAGGGGTATATCCTCCTCCGATGTCTTCAAAACTCCTGGGGGAATAAGATCTCCTGGGCCACGTGAGATGTTTTTCCTGGTCGGTTGTGCCCTGATTTCGCAGGATAGGTCCTTTTCCTTCCCCTTCCCCCATCATTCCACCAACGTAGATACTTTGATACGGCTGGAAGTCCATGGGCTGCCAAGGTGAGCGGTTGCTGCCATTGGCATTAATCAGGTTATCTTTGAGAAACTTGGGGTTCAGTTCAGCGTCCTCATATTCTCCATCGTAGCCAAAGCTGCTCTCCGAGGACCTTCCCCTGTACGCAGGCCTCTGGAACTCGCTGAAGCTGGGTACCATGTTAGAAGGGAGGGAGTGCAAAGACTTTTTGCGTTCCATTTGCATGGCTTGGCTGCCAAGGGAGCTTATTTTATCAGAAACATCTTTGTCGTTGACCTTCACTAGACCCTTCTCATGATGATACTCCATGTTCACATAAAAGGGCTTTTCGACAACATCCTTGTTATCTCCAGAAGAATGCGAGTTAACCTTTTTCATTCTCTCAAAATTGGACCTCAGGGCTGCCACACTGGTGCTGTTCCCTCTCTCCTTAGGTTCAAATGATCCCTCCTTCTCAGCAGATCCCACCAGCCTACGAGTGGAAGCCGACCTGTGTTTTGAAGGAGAGCCATCTGTATCACAGCGATTCTCCATATCTTCTACAACTCTCTTCAGTTTCTCCTCCCCATAGTACTTGGACCTGTCCTGCTCTCCTTCTCCGTGATGGGGGCTGTCCAAAGGGGACAGGTCTGACCCATCACTCTGGGTAGACAGCTTCCGCAGAGAGGGGATCCTGGGTTTGAACTTTTCCTCCCCGTGGTGTGACTTGCTTTTTTCATATTCCTCTTGGTCAGCAGACTGGTGATGATGCAGGTCCTGGATCTGCTGCTCTGCACCCCCTTCAGGCAACTGAGAAACACGTTTAAAACCCCATCTCTGTCTATCATAGCTTTTTTTCTCCTTTGCCAGAAGAGTCTGCAGGTAAATCATGCGGAACCTCTCCTTGTTCACCTCCATCTCCAGTCTCCGGATAGATGCTTTGCACATCTCCAGCTCCTGTTCAATATCTCCCACAGATTTCAGCTCCATTTTAGGAGGCTCAGAGTCTGCAAATTGTGCTTTCCAAGCCTCCACAAACCCCACAGGGTCCACCATTTTGCATACGGGAGTAACTGGAGAATACGAGAAGGAGGCTGGAGAGAGAGAGGTGGACAGAAAAAACCAACCGGATCTCACATGTAGAAGCAGAAACAGCTCCGGCGGGGTCAACTCAGCGCGTCTCTTTCACGGTCCATGCAGGGGCACTGGGAGGCGAGCGGCGATCCTCCCTCGCA